TGGAACCTCGACACGTTCAAAAGCATGTAGCTATCGTTCGGCATTAGAACATCGCCTAGCCTGAAATAGTCACAGATGGTCGAAAACACGGTGTGTCCAATCTCTTAAACACAAACACCTTTCCGCTATGACGAGTCTTACCGCAGAGCTCAGTAGGGTCGTGCAGACGAGTGTCCTGACATTAAAGCTCCGATATTACTTGAGTACTCATCTCAGCAGAGAAACGAATCGGAGCCTGGTCTCCTAGTCGTTGCCAGTACACCACATGTATATAAATTTCTATTAAATCTGGCATTGCTCAGTATCCTCATCGTTTACGTTTAGCCAAGATAAACCCCCATAACGTAGAAACCTTCAATAGCTTATATCCACGACGTTTATACCACCGCACAACCCGGGAATTTTCTTCATGTTTCTATCTATCTAATTCTAAAATCCCAGCTGCATTTCTTCAGCTCCTAAATGTTTTACCCAGTTTTCTACAAATTCTATAAGCTGTTAGTTAACTATAGTACGATGTTTTAACTGGTACGGCGGTAAGCCGAGGTCACCTATACGCGGCCCAAGTTACAATCTATACTTTGGAGATGACAATATGTCCCTTCTTATAAAAGTCGGGGTTAGGTAAGATTATATTTATTTAATAAGCACTAAAATCTGACATTTGGTTAACACATCTTTATTAATATATTATTCATGTAAACTTGACTGTTGTTAACTAGCTAATATATGTGTTTTAAGGAGTATATTCTAAGATTAACTCAGGGATCTAATTGATCTAGCTACCCTAAGCCTCTGTCTGATAGCTATGGATATATACCTTGACTCTTGACTCTCTTTCAAAAAAAAAAAAAAAAAAAAAAAAAAAACACGAAGAAGTAGTGACTGGGAAAGCGCTAAAGTCTGCTAAACTGCTTCTATTAGTAGTAGCCGCCAAGGTTTGTGTTATCCCTGTAGGTAGCCCTCTAGACTATAGGATGGAGGGCTTAATGGCGGGGCGACAAAAGACAGTACAATTATGCGGGAAACTCCGCCAGACAGTTGACCTAAGGAGGAGACGGCAAAGAAACACTTGGAGACGCTGGACAGCCTCCTGTAATCCACAGCTTACTCTGATGGGTCCTAGGGCAAAAATAAGAACACAGTTAGGGAGCGGTTATGTACTATGATGTTAGAGATTATAGTCTGCCGTTACCTAGCGAATGCAGAGGTCTATAATACAAAAGCAGCAAGACCCTCTAAAGTAATGAAGTTAGCTAAAGTACAATCACAGCTAATCCAAATATCTACAAACTACTACTGTAACAATCCGTTATACAGTTAAGCAAAACAGGGCAAAATATTAGGCCAATAACCACTATTGTAGCAGTTACTGTAACAGAACCAGCTGCCTATAAAGGAATCAACCGTTTACAAGGGACCAGGTTGTAACAACTAATCTTCTTAGATAACTTCGCAGTACTAGTTGATGGGATTCTTGGCATTATATTCACTTTCTTTTAAGGAGTATGCATGGATATTAGAACGTTTGCCAAGGAACTCTAACCTAGGCTATAAGGATATATTAGGTAATGAAATAGCAAATAAGCCTGTTAAGAACACCTGAATTTTCCATACGGAGTATATACAACACCAAAGCTGACAAATATAATTCGATCCACGGTGCTTATAATCTTGGCAAACTTATAGCCTCCGCAGCCCTTCTGACTTTCCTCCCTGAGCAATGCAGAATTGATATTTAGCCGGATCCAAGCTAGTGACTATCTCCGTGATAAAGGTGCTCAACCTAAAGTTAAGGACATTGTAAGAAGGAGATAGGAATATCCTTCTTTGCTCTTTTCTCATTTTCTATGCAAGTTTTACCTCTTTCGATCTTTGGTGCTTATCTTCTTGGCACACTTATAATCTCTAGTGCGCATAGCAGTCTGGGGGACCATGAACTCGTAAGTTAATATTGGGGACTTTTGATTACTGATGAGAGCGCTTTTGATTACTGATGAGAGCCTCAGTCACCTCTCAGAAAGGGGCCTTTTGCAGCAACCCTGCTTCGTATGTAACTATGTTCAATATAAAAGCATCCTACTTGCCCTCGTACGAGACTTGATCTTTACCTCCGTACTTTACACTACAACTCTTCAGCTCCTACAAAATTTGATAAGAAGCTTACCTTTCTGAGTAAAAGTATATACAAGTATGTCTATTGCAAAGAGATTCAAGATGTCTAACATTTTCAGGCAGCTTTTCTTTCACCATGAAGCTCCTATCTACCTGTTACAACCTAAACATTCATTCATACATTAGCTAAGCAAGAGTACATACTCTAGGAGTAACTACAGACCGACGGACCAATCACGAAAGGATCACGGTTTACAGACATCCCTGTTGGATCACCAAGTGAGCCATCGTAAGCCTATGCAAGAGTGATCCAACCGTAAGCCATCTGGAACGACTTACTATATAAGAACCGTTCATTACGCTCATTAAATAGAACTTAAATAGTCAGTCGTTAACATAGCACTCTCAGATAACAATCAGATTGGTTATTTATAACCTCGTTAGCTACATAACTGCATCGCTTATAAGACTCCAACTCATCTCTCTGCCAACATAAACCCAACGTTAAGTTTATAGATTGGGAACCTACCCTATACCTAAGTACAATAGTATAGGCCAGGACATCATACGTTAATGACTCTTGTTCAGAAGATCTCTTGGAATCTTGTGAGCAATCGAACCACCATGACTGAAAACGACACTGCAGCTCCTCAAATCGCTCCAGCACTTGCCGCGACCTCTGAACCCATCAGACTCATCGATGTAAATGGCGATCTCGCCATAAGCCATAAGCCTGACTGGAACAATCTGGAGGGAGATGCTTTAAAGGAATATCTTCAGGATATATTCCAAGTCAACAAGCAATTAATTAACACCTTAAACAATAAGAAAAAGGAAATCAAGAAGGACATGGGAATCCTCATTAAGCGACAACCACCTCCCATATTCAACGGGAAGATTAGCGAACTTAGACCCTTTCAAACTCAGCTCAGGGCCTACTTCATAGACTTTAAGAATACAATTAACACTGAGGACAAAAAAGTTTCCTTTGCGGCATCGCGCCTCAAGGGAACTGCACTCAAGTGGTTCCGACCTATGTGGGATAAATATCTCAAGGATCCGACTAATCCCCCGCCTGCCGTCAAGAAAGTATTTAATAACTTCAAAGAATTCGAAAGAGAACTTGTAAAAGCATTCGGAGACGTTGGAGAAGTCCGAATGGCTGAAAACAAACTTGCAGAAGTATCCCAGAAAGGAAAATGCTCTGATTACGCTGTAAAATTCAGAGACCTTGCCTCTCGAGTTGAATGGGGACAAGCTGCACTCATCAAACGATTCTACAATGGACTCAAGAAAAGCATCAAGGAAAAAGTCTACGACATTGACCGAACTCAGCACGACCTCCTATCCTTTATCGAAAAATGCGTTAAAGCCGACAATCTCTTATACGAACTCAACATAAGCACTCGCAATGACCAAAGAAACAGAGGTAGGAACAATAAACAAATTGCTAAAGACAACAGTGGTACTCCAGGACCTATAGACATCAGCATAATTCAGAAAGACAACAAAAAGAAAGACTTTAAATGTTACAATTATGGGAAGCCAAACCACATGGCAAGAAACTGCAGATCACCTAAAAAGTCTACTATTCCACCACCAAAAGATAATCACGCCATGGAAAAAGACAGCAAGACCATCTCGATGATGGAAAGAGACTTCACAGCTGAAGAAGAAAACGAATACCCTTACTACCAGTCGGAAGCTAAACTATCAGATGATTCCAACACACTAGCTGAAGAATTTAAAATACCTGACCAACAAACAATCCCTTAGGAAGACTTTCAATCAACTGGAAACACAGATGAAGTAGATACTGGGATAGACGAAGATTTTGAATGGCGAAACTATGGACGCAACTATAAGTGTGATGATGACATCTGGAGACGACATGATAACCTAACCCCAGAAGTTAACCGACTATTTAAATTTTAAAATTGCATTGTTGAAGCCTAAGAACCTTTTGAGAATAACACTCCTTCGTTTCTGTACGGATGGTTATCCGAACTCCAACAGCAAGAAGTAGAAGGATAACTCATCCTTCGAGCTGTTACGCTGGACCAAGCCCTACGACAAAACCTTGGTTATGAAAGAAGATTCGGGGATGTTGATCGTATTAATCCAGACCATCCAGGACACTATCGTGTTAGCTGGGTTGACTGTGTTATACACCGATGTATGGAACATTTTGACGACAAAAGGAAGCACGACACCTTTCCTATTAGGATCCCATTTCTTCCTGTCACCCATATACACTCTTGCATGCGCTTCTTATCATGGGACGTTAAGTGGAGGTTTAGATCCCTCAAGGTAGTCGTCCTAGGAGAAGGAGAATGCGCAAAACCGAATGAGTTTATAGGAGCCTGTGAAGAAGCCTTCTGCGAATATTATAAAGCTCGAAAACTCTTTACATGGCATGAGAGAGAAGACGCCCGAGAAGAATGCAATGAAACCGATTTTTTCGACTGCAAAAATCCAAAATGTGCACGACACGCGGAAATTAAGATTTTAAACTGGCATAATCCAAAAAACGTGGACGGTCTCCTGTAAGAGGGCAACAGGAAGACTTAAAATACATTATGTCTCTCGAACCAGACGATGAATATGACAGTGAGGAAGAAGAAAAAAGAACATTTAAAAAAATGTCGTACGATGTGTTTTTAGACGGGGAGCCTCTCATGGTCCTAATAGACAGTGGGTCGTAATGCAACTATATGTCTGCCACAACTGCAATATGCCTGCAGTTGCCAGCGTATGAGAAAAAGAGAAAGTATTAGTTACGATACGCAGAGGGAGCGCACTTTCTTTACAATAACGGATGGATTAAACAACGGACTGATCACCTGTCAATAAATATTGAAAATTGCATTACTAGAACTGTATGCGACATAGCTAATATCCTACGATACGACCTTGTTCTAGGGATACCTTGGTTAAGCAAACATAATCCCGATATAGACTGGGAAACCGGCTAGATTCGTTGGCGAAATAACGAAATCCCAGAAGAAAGGAAATCAGGTAGCCAGAAGCCTAAGATTTTCCTTAAGCCCACCACAACACCTCCTCAATACATTGAGAAAAGAAGGAAGACATCAGAACAAAGAACGCAAAAACATGTTGCTATTTTGCGCCAAGAACTAATGCTACTGGACCAAGAACTCAAGAAAATTAAACAATCCAACGATCCACTAGCACGAGTTCTAAAACAATATAGGAAGTATAAAAAACTCTTTAAAGAACGATTAAAAGAAGGACTTCCACCACATTCAGAATAGGACCACGAGATAGTCCTAAAAGATGGAGCCTCTCCAAAGTTTCACAAGATTTATAATCTCAGCAAAATGGAACTTAAAACCCTCAAAGAATGGATCGAAGTACAACTCAAAAAGGGATACATCCGAATCTCCAAATCCCCAGTTGGATACCCCATTATCTTCATACCAAAGAAAAATGGCAAACTACGGTTAGTCATTGATTATAGGGAGTTAAACAAAATAACCATCAAAGACAAAACCCCGCTACCCTTGATCTCACAAATCAAGAACAGACTGCATGGGAAAAAATGGTTTACAACTCTCGACCTCACAGGAGCTTACAAGCTCACTAGAATGAAGGAAGGACATGAATGGATGACCGCATTCGCAACAAGATATGGATTATACGAATATGTTGTCATGCCACAGGGACTCACAAATGCACCCGCATCCTTCCAGAAAAGAATAAACCACATGCTCGGACCATACTTGGATGATTTCGCAATCGCATATATCGACGACATTCTAATCTTCTCAGACACCCTCGAAGAACATGAGAAACACGTCCATCTTATACTGCAAAAGCTTGAAGAAAATAAACTCCTTGTTAACCCCAAAAAATGTATGTTTCATTCTCAGAAAGTTAACTTTCTAGAATATGTCATCACACCCAAAGAAATTCACATGAACCCTGACAAAGTCAAAGCAATCGATGAGTGGCCAGTACCGACCACGCTCAAAGAATTACAAGCGTTCCTTGGACTCGCAAATTACTACCAAAAATTCATCAAGGACTTTTCGCTAAAAGCAATCCCGCTCACCAATATAACTAAAAAGGATAAACCTTTTAAATGGGGGGAGGAACAGCAAAAAGCCTTTGAAGAACTCAAAAAGGCCATTACTTCAAAGACAATTCTCGCTATATTTAACCCAAAGAAACCTATCACAATTAAGACCGACGCGTCGAATTTCGCGATCGGAGGGGTTCTAAGTCAACCAGGCGACGACGGCAAACTTAGACCTGTTGCATTCTTTTCACACAAACTCAATGGACCAGTGCTATGATATCCCACCTATGATAAAGAAATGTACGCTATATTGCAAGCATTTAAAGAATGGAGACATTATTGCCATGGAAGTGAACACAAGATCACTGTCTACACTAATTACAAGAATATTTCATACTTCACTACTACTAGAGAGCTCTCCAGCCGATAAGTCGGATACTTTGAATTCCTGTTACAATTCGATTATGAACTTATTCATTGCAAAGGCACGGAAAATGGAAGAGCCGATGCATTAAGCAGAAGAAGTGACCATGAACAAGACATACCGGAATTCACGGCACAAGCACTACGCTATAACGACAAAAGAAACATTGAGCAAGTACACATTTACGCAATGTTCAAAGTACTTGAAGAAGACCCAATGCTCGACAAAATCAAAGAATATGTAAAAAATCATGAGAATGAGGAATATCCAGAAGGAGTAACTACAGAAGAAGGATACCCTGAACGCGAAGGAAAGATTTGGGTACCCGAAGAGTTAAGAAGGGACGTAGTAAAATACATTTACGAGCACCCGCTGCATGGACACAAAGGGATACGGAAAACATACAATCAAGTCCTCACATACTACAAAGTGATCGAACTCAAAGCACACATTCAACATATTGTATCACACTGCAGCGTATACCAACAGACGAAAGACGGAAGACATAAACTATATAGGAAACTACAACCGCTGCCAGTAGCAGAACGACCATGGGAATCAGTGACATTCGACCACATCACCGACCTACCCCTCTCTACCAAACCCTTCACAAAGGTAAAATACGACAGCATCTTTGTAGTAGTCTGTCGCTTTTCGAAAGAAGCACACTTCTTGCCGCACAACAAATCACACACAGCAGAAGACCTTGCTTACACCTACATGAAAATAATCGCCGCAAATCATAGACTACCAAAAGAAATAATATCAGATAGAGGACGAACATTCGCCTCCAAATTTTAGCAGGAACTCATGGCCAAACTAGGAATAAACTACAAATTGAGTACCGCATACCACCCTCAAACAGACGGACAAACAGAACGCATCAATCAGATCATCGAAGCATACTTAAGATGCTACATCAACTTTGCACAAGACGATTGGGTAGAAAAATTACCAGTGGCACAATACTGTTACAACAGCACACCTTCAGAATCCACAGGAATCACACCGTTCTACGCAAACTATGGATTCACACCAGAAGCATTTAGACCACCACGAGAAGGACCCAACTCCGAAAAAGCAAGACTGCAAGCAGAATTAATAATCGATTTACACGAAGAAATGCACACGCAACTCAAATTTATCCGAGACAGAATGAGGAAATACGCAGACCAAGACAGAATTACAGGACCAATTCTCCAGAAGGGAGACATAGTTTACCTGTTACAGCACTCACGAGGCCACAAATTGCCGAATATCAAGACCAATAGGCCAAGTGACAAGTTAGACGTCAGAAAAATAGAACCTTATGAAATCCTCGAACAAATTGAAGAAGTCAATTACAAGCTAGCGTTGCCAGACACAATAAAGCTTCAAAGCCCAGTGTTTCATATATCACAACTGGAAAAAGCACAAGTTAACGAACTCACGGGAAGACCTATTTTAGACAAAATCATTATTAAAGACAAAGAAGAAGAATATAAAATTAAAGAAGTACTCGCTATACGCTAGAACTCTGAGACCAACAAAACAGAGTACCTTGTCAAATAGAAAGGATACTCAGAATTAAAAAACTCATGGGAACCAAAAGAACACTTTAACTCCCACAAGCCGATAAAGAAGTTCCTTCGGTCTGTAAGGTTAATGGATCAAAATCAGCCAGCACAGCGTTCCAATCGATCACATCAACACCCCCGCTAAGCTAAACATCAATCACCACCTCTAACTCAGCACGCTCTGCCTCATCTAATTCATCAAGACTCTTCAGGCCGCAATTCACCATCTCCGCCCCTCAAGTCACTAAAGATTCGCATTGAGAACGGATACGCGATAACCGAGACAAGGCCTCAGCGGCTTTTTGCTGATACTCAGCAAGCTGCTCAGCAGCCTCCTTTTCTTCCAAACGCAATCGTTTATGCTCGGAAGTTATGCAATTCACTATATCATTAGAACAACAAGACACTGTCATTTCAGAAAATAAACTCACAAGCTGACAATAGAACACCCGTCCCGTCACAAGAACGACCGCGACGCATACACTCCTTGCAACGCATTACACCATCCATCATTTTGCAACGGTCGCCCATGCCATGACATTTACAGAAAGAACAAGCCATCACAAGAAATCCCAATTCCTCAATAGTAGCGGCTAAAGAAAGGCGCTCGCGTATTTTCCAGAATACTGGTTTGGACACACAGTTAGGCATCATGAAAATCACAAAAGGAGTCCAAAAGAAAAATCACCTTAGCAAGCTAATGCAGGAAGGGCCTCTTTATAGGCCTTGAGGACAAGACCAACAAAGAGGGGGCATCGTATTACGACCTAAACATTTGTTCATACATTAGCTAAGCAAGAGTACGTACTCTAGGAGTAACTACGGACCGACGGACCAATCACAAAAGGATCACGGTTTACAGACATCCCTGTTGAATCACCAAGTGAGCCATCGTAAGCCTATGCAAGAGTGATCCAACCGTAAGCCATCTGGAACGACTTACTATATAAAAACCATTCATTACGCTCATTAAATAGAACTTAAATAGTCAGTCATTAACATAGCACTCTCAGATAACAATCAGATTGGTTATTCATAACCTCGTTAGCTACGTGACTGCATCGCTCATAAGACTCCAACTTATCTCTCTGCCAACATAAACCCGACGTTGAGTTTATAGATTGGGAACCTACCCTATACCTAAGTACGATAGTATAGGCCAGGACGTCACACTACCCTACCTGTTATCGGGCTTGTTCTCCAAGCTGGAAGCTCGAGGGCCGCAGATTGCGGTTTTTATGGTGTGGGCTCAGATGGTATTGGAGCTTGTACGGATCGAAATGGCAACTACGCAGACCGTCAAACATTTTGCACGACGCTAGTTGGCCAGGGAAACTGGTATCGAACTTGCGAAAACGGTAGAAACCATGGAAAATGCCACTTCGAGTATCAGGGACCTGGTATGCCACAGCAATTATGCTGGAATGCATATGAAAATATTATCAATCAATGCTTTGGTAACCAGAATGGGGGAGGATATCACTATGGAACCTATTCATACGATGGTCACTGGTTTGTTATTGACAGATGCTCTGCGTAAAGCAAATTGCAACTCAAAACACACTAGCTACCTAGAATAGCGGAGCAGAAGCCTACTACAGTCTTGGGTATCTCCTTGAGGATCCAAAAGCAAATTTTTTGTACTTATCCCTAAGTCTAATTGTATATCTCTAATTAGTTAAATTAAGAGGAATATGCTTGAGATTGTATTATGTCAGTCACTCGTACGATCCAACTTTCGCAACTTTCAAGCCTTCACTACCTCGCCGTAGCTATCAAAAGTTTGGACCAAAATAAGGGCAAGAGACTCTTTTAAGAAGGTTGAGACATATTAGAGTCTAGAAGAAGCCAGTACGTCGAGGGAGGTAGACGAGATGATTGTAGATAATGAGAGATCTAAACGGACAAAAGCCCACCCACAAAATCAACACAGCAACAGGACTTACAGAATTGGAGAGACAATATGAACGACAAATCCTACCAGATACACTTCAAAATCTCTCCTCCACCATCTCAGACAAACATTTCCTTAGGAAGAGAAAGAACGGAGACAACAGAGAGAGATGGGAAGAAAGAAAGAAAAGATATATATACAGACAACGGTGGGAGAGGTGTCCCAGTAGCTTCGGCGGCTGGTGAAGACTTGTTAGCTGAGAGGGACTTCGGTGAGCCTTCTGCCGATAATGGACTTATGAAGGTTGGAATTCCATCTCAATTGCCCTCACTTCCTGCCTCTCATCACGTTGCTAGCCAGGAGGAGAGTTTTTCAATGACTGCACACTCTCTTCAAGCTATGAGATATGGCTTCATTATTTAAGAATGAGGATTAGGATTGGGAAGCCGGCTTATCCATGACCCCAAAGTAATTTCGTGCCTTTATACCACAGGCTCTCTTATGCTTTTCCCAGCCTTTGCAAACCGCTGTCTGTCTGTGTGTACCGCATAGTTGCCCAGTGCGGTAAGGGGTCCGCGCCGTCGCCGGTCATAGTCATTCCCAATACGACGGTGCTACGATAGAGCGGCAATGTGCCGTCGGACAGCGGGTACATCTTTGAGACTCGCGGTAAATCCGCATCAAGGCGATCGAGGGTCCGCGCGGAGGGCGCAGCATTAGCTTCAGTATCGAGAATATGAGAAGCATCTAGCATACAGCGGAATTAAGCCATTTATTCACATCATTCATCTATTCCCTTAATACATCTTTTATGACGGGTTCTAAAACTCTTTTAAATTAACTAGTTACTACTTATTTCAGCACGCATGCTACTGCTAAACCGCGTAGTGTGCAATCGGGGATTTCGCTGCAGATCTCTTTCGTAGCTGTTTCAGAACTGGGCATCGGTTCCGCAACGTCGAAGTCACAATCATCACCAAACCGGACAGGAAGCTCTGGGGTTTTCAAGGCTGTGATGATTGCTCGTCAGAAGGTAAGTCACAAAGCAAGAAAATAAAGCATAGGGATACTTCAATTGCAAGCTGTCCTTAGCTAGGTAGATGTAAATAAACAAGCTCCAGTATCATACCTATATTATGCACAAATGCTCCAGACACCAGCACATACGACCATAGGTAGTGGAAAATTCGGGGTCCCGTCTGCTCCCCCATAGACAAGCCACTAACCGGCAGATTAGTAGTCAGGTGGGTGACCACTGGCGAACACCGGCTGTTGTATGT